TTCCTAAAATTAATCGCATTTTTAACAAAAATTTTTTTATTAATGGGGGTATTACCCTGGGGCCCGCTTTTTAAAAAAACAGCATTTTAACCTATTTTTTCCCCCCCCCCCCCCCCCCCCGTAGCCAGGATTTTGCCAAGGGAGATGCACTGTATATGTATATCGATATACCGGTTTTCTTGCATTGTGTTTTTTGGTTGTACCGGTTCTGATTCCAATATAGCCGTCTCTGCGACAGTGACCGGTCCAGAAAACTAACAGGATGCAAAAGGATCTTCGCACCGGTTTCGAAGGAAGGGCTCGAATACAATGTAGATCTCTCTTGCCAACACTCATTTAAACAACACAAGTAGCTTTTCTTTATGTTTTTACTTGTCATTCCTAATAATGTCTTTTGAAAAGAGACGAAAACTAGAACCTTATCTCGTCACTGATTTCGTTTGGAAATCAGATGTGATTGCTTTCATAGCAGTTAAAAGCAGTTTCTACTTATGGGATGTGCCCGGATACAATGGGCAGCCCTCGTGACTACGAGCCTGCCTATAGCTGACGCTTCGGTTCCTTTTACAATCGTTTTTAAATCGAAACAAAAACACGTAAAATATGCCTCAAACAATCATTAGCTGTTAGTGGATAGTCATAAAAGCATCAGATTGCGTGTTGAGACTAAAAAATCGGGTATAAGGTAAGAAACCTTTTTTTCTTCAAGAAGCTCCATAAATTCAATCTAAGACCAAAACGCAGTTTTGAAAATGTAGGCAAATAGAGCGTACAGTTTTTAACTAAACGACACGTTTCCAATTCCTCTATGACATTTTTATAATGCGTTGTATAAGCAAAATGCCATATCAAAAAAATATGCTTGGCGAAAAATTGCGTCAATAATCGCTCATTTTGGTTATTGTACAACTCATTATAAAAACGTCATAGGGGGTCTTGCGTCTTCAAAAATACATTTATTTTAAAAACTGATGCAGTTTTTCGCCTTTTTGGTATGATTTCATTTTTAAAGAAATATAAGAATCGCCGATTTTCACAGAAAAAATGTATAAAATATTAGTTTAATTATGCGTTATTTGTAGAATAGATGTCTGCTTATCCAAATGGATTTTTTCAGACATCAGGATATTTACGTTTATTAAAAATGGATGTGTTTCATAAAGACTATTAATTTGGCTCACGTGCACTGAAAATCCATCTAAATCTAGGTAAAAAGCATTCTACACTTGAATAGGTATAAAATTGGGCTTTCTAAGAGTTTTCAGAGAATGTTTGAAATCCTTTTTTTGTACATCAACAGAACCGATGAATTTTCTAATGCACTCTTACACACATTTATTTTTCTCATTTCTTAAGATAATTAAAGAGTTCACTACAGCTCTTCAGGACGCTAAACGTACCTATATTTGTGCTCGCACAAAATTTTTACATCGTATTCTTCAATCCCCATCGCCTACAATCGATGCATCGGATCAATTTTCCATAGCTTTTTTCCTATTTCAAATCCAAGCTATCGTTCGTCTCATTGAAAAGTATACTGTACTTACTGAAACTTTGGCTAATTCTTCGACTGCCATACACAAGGAATTATGGTTAACATTGAAAAGTTATTTCGATGTAAAACAGTATTTCACTTGGAATTATTATAAACCGAACTGGGTGCTATTAATGTCCGCTATAAAAAGTACTTTTATTATTGGTGTTGGATCAATTTTTGTTTTGGTTCCAACATTGGCAACAGCATTTGAAAATGGACAATGGATATTGATTGCACTGTGCATGACACAAGTGAGTAAGATTATAATATACTTGTAAAAGTGTAAATGATTTGAACTATTTATTTATTTATTTATGATATAGGGTGATACAGTAGGCGGTGCATTTACAGCAATGAAATTAAGAATTTTGGGAACATTATTAGGTAGGTAAGGTATGGCTTTTAAAAGGTCTCTCAAAGGAATATTTTATAAGAATATTAGGTATGGATGACTCCATTTTTGTATTACACAATGCTTCTAGCACGTTGAATATTTTCAATAATCAATGATTATGTATCGGATCCAAAGAACGAGATCCGATGAGAACCGAATAATTTTTTAAAACTATTTTACAAAGTAAATTAGATCTGTTTTGTAGAGCGAACTGTCCTCTTCAAAATGCTTTAGTTCTCGGCATATAACAGCTTATAAAAGGCTTTAAAGATGGAAAATTTAAATAGTTTTGCTTGAATGTTACTGTAAACACCCACTCATAATAGAAGATCGTCCCTTAATAAAAGGACATCCTCTATTAGGAGACCAGCCTAAGGTTTTGTGAGTTGCAAGCTGGAATAGAGGACCATGGTCTTTTATTTCTACTGTATTTTTTGAAAAGAAATAATTATATATTTAGAATAAAGAGAATGAATTTTTTGACGTGGTTAAATCCTCGAGCTGAAAATATATCCTGTTTGGACTACGTATTCAGGAGCAAAATTTATCCCAAAGATGTGTATTTTTCGTTCTGTTTGGAATAAAGAACAGAAAAAAACGTCATTTTCATCGCACGTTTTTTAAGAACATATCGTGTACGCCTGGACGGATGATGAGGAAATAACGTTGAAAACAGTTTCCGGTTACAATTTTGATTCAAAAGCTATTGTTTTTGGAAATGATAAAAATAATCAAATGGATACATGATCGGAGGAAGAAAAAACGAAAACTTCTGTTATCCAAGAAAACATTGACTATTTTGATGCAGACAACACCTAATAATTTTTCTCAGTAGAAAATAAAATTGGTACTGGAGATTGAAATGAAGTTTTTCTTGTAACATCTCAAAATAGCTGTTGTTTTACTAAAAAAATATTATCGTTTTTTTGAAGAAGAAAATAAAAACCGTAATATTTAAAAAGAAATGGAAAAGTGTTCAAATGAAAAAGGAAAACGGATGTAAAAGATCATTATTAGCATATAAAAATAACTTTAGAGAATTCTAGTCGTGAACAGTGAGAAAAAAGTTGACCGCAATAGAAGAACACCCTCAAGTTATGAGTTGACCAACAAAATAAAAGACCACTTGGTTTTCTATTACGGGAAGGGGTTTAATCTTCGAGTTAGACAAAAAAAATAAATAACCATCCACTGTCATTTCCCTCATTTAGGCGCAATGTACGGTTACATTACCTATATATCCGTTCATGACAACGTTTACTATACATTTGCTATGTTCGTTCCTTGGGTGCTGTTATGCGGCTATATTAAACAAATTCCATCGTGGTCCTATGCCGGTACCGTTGCAGCCTTTACTCCAATTCTTATTAACTTGGGTCGCTTGCCGTATGGTGATACCTTGCCTGCCGGCAACTATGCTCTTCTACGAATTGAAGAAAATTTAGTGGGAATTTGTATTGGAATGTTTTTGACAATGATCATATTTCCAATATTTGCATTGGATACTTTAAAAGAAAATATTATGAATACATTACAGGCATGTCGGGATGCAGTGGAAACAGTACATTCAGTGTACGATCAGTTGTTATTACATTCACATGATGATCAAGAGAAGAAAACAGATAAAGCAGTAGATGTGAAAATTGATTTAGAAAAAGGCGCATTTTTAGATAAACAAAGAACACAATTTCACCAACTAATTAGTGCACAACGGAGTTTAGTAGTACAAGGTAAAAAATTCGATTTCTGATCAAATGATATCTGTCGACATTCTCGGTTTTCATAATATTGGGTATATCCACTTATTAAAAGGACGTTTATAACCAAATAAATGCCCGAAAATGCGTCAAAACAGCCCGTTTAATTCACAGTTTTAGAGTCTTTTTTTCCGACCGTTTCCTTGATCATCTATTATCAGGTTTTTTACCAACTAGAAATGTCTACTTCAAAGGGCATTTATTGAAATCTTTTTTCACCATTCGCCACTGGAGAATTGAGGAATTCCCGCACGAGAAGAATGCCCTATCAGAAAAATGTATTCTTTTGTGAAAATAGGCAACTTTTATTCTCCACACTGAAGCCGGTATAAATTCTGATTTTTTAGAAAACACTTAAAGCGTTCGGGAAATTGAAACCACACCGAACAAATAAAGGCTGACGAAAGTACCCTTAAAGCGTTCCCGAAGGGGTTTGTCGCTTCTACGGAACCTTTTATTCGTTCGGTGTGGTTTCAGTTTCCCGAACGCTTTAAGCGTTTCAGAAAGGGTTGTATGTCTCTATAGTGCAGTATTATACTCTCTTGAATTTCTACACCGAATGTCGTGCCATTTAATCTTCAGGAAAGTAACTTCTTCTTTAGAATGAGGGCAAACGATGAAGTTTAGAATAGAAGTTTTTTACAGAAACGAAAGAATAACAGTGAGGTGGTGTTGTCAGGTTTAGTATTAAGCAAGATTGAGAGTACTTCTACAGAATAGTTACACTCCAACCCCCATATGTCTGCCATACAGTATAAGATGTGATTATTTTGTAGAAGTGCCATGGAGAGTAATGGAAAGTTATTTTCATTGTTCTGAACTTCGCAGAATGTGAAACGCTAAGAAAATAACGAAAGATCATTTTTATTTCGTGACCTCCGCGACAGTAAGAAAAAAGGCGTCTGTCTGTCATACATTCGCCGAGTCTCTTGGCATGTTAACAACGACTCGTTCAAGTAATTAACTAAGCCGAAAAACAACATGACACGACTCTTGATCTGCTAATAATCAGATAAAAGTTAACAAACACAACTGACTGGAAAACTAGCTAGTATTATTCATTCGATCAATGAGAAAATAACACATATTCTGATATTCTCATTCTGGACAGTTGAAAAAACCGCTAATTGAACTTCACTGCAACTCATAGCTTCAATAATTCAATTTTTTGTCCCCTCATCACTTGTTAAAATACGTTTTTTCGTATTTCAATAAACCCCTTTATTTAAGAGAAATGCCGTAGGGTTTTCTAAGCGAGAAAAGTCCTTTTGGGTTTATTAAAAAATCAAAAGGATTTACCAGAAAACCAATGGATTTTTCATCCAATGTGTAACACCCTGACAGTTTATTAATCCAACTTCGATACCTTTTTGGGTTTATGAAAACGCTTTTTTATAATTCGAAAGGGTATACTAAGAAATCCTATCGCTGATAAACCATTAAGCGCTACGGAAAACTGTCAATAAAGTTTTTTCCATTCCGGAGGGAAAATGCGTAATCCTTAGAGTTTTTTAAAATACGGACTTTTTTTAGAGTGTATGCTACGCGTAGCATTTGTCAGGTGCACAATTTGAAGTTTGCATAGTCTACATATTATGCTGCGTTTGTATGCAGACCTACGGCGCGTTCGTAATGACAATCATGTCGCGTATGTTGCTATTATCAGCCTTGTGGTCGTTTATAAACTTACACTCTGCTTTTTATATTTTTTTAATACAAAACCGTACACTAGGAGGGCTTCATAAAAGCTTGCCGGTGTAGACCTGTCTGGATCTAAAGCATTTTACGTGTGAAAGCATTTCCCTAGTTGGAGCTCAAGCCCATAATTATTGTTGTGCAAAAGCGCTGAAGAGTCAGCGGTTTTTCATACTTTATATAAAACGCCACAGGCTAACGAAGAAGGAGTTTCACACAAAATGATCTCTGCAGGTGGTTGTTTTGTAACGAAAGAGATATCTCAAACTTGGTCGGCGATGCCGAACTGGATCCATTTCAAAGAACATCAAAATTCGAACAGACTTTGGTATTATTCGGCCCTAACCGACTAGGGATCAAGGATAGATCAAGATGTATATTCTGCCAACCAAAGTCTGATACTTTCAGGCTTTTTTCGGTCCAGTCGAGAACCAAAACCAATAAACGTGTAACATCCTTGTTTTCTTTCTTTCTAGCCGATATGGAACCCACTACATTTTGGTTGAAAAATTCCTTCTCACTCACACACTACCGTACCTTAGTTCAACAAGAAATCGATGTCTTTCGTATGTTGCACAATATAGACACTTCCCTAATCCGTATTAATGAAAGTGATACTGATGCAGCAAATATTGAAGAACTACAAGGTCGTGGTTTTATTGCTAACCTCCATTCTGAAATCAGTAACATTTGTCAGCAGCTAAGTGGAAGTTTAAATTTGTGGAGTAAATATTTTCTGATGACTCAAACATGGACAAAACGTAAAATCACTGGTAATACTCACATACAAAAGGACGACGATAAAACAGAATATCTGAGAAAACATGAAGAATGTTTAATTCAATTACATCAGACCGTAGCACAATTACACGAACAACATCAACAGGGAACAAATCGTTTGTTAGACCAATTTTTGGAAAAATTAAAAGAGAAAGATGAAAATGAAAGTTATCAGACACTAAATACACTTCTACCATACGCAACAAACGATGATCTTGATGTGATTATTGTAGCATTGAGTTCACTCTATTATTCAACTACACATTTAATCAAGTCGATGATTGGTTTAGGGACAACAATACATACACTGTATGAATTAGAAACAACGAATACATATAGACCATATTAGATAAACTACCTTTCTATGTATGCAAATAACAATAAAATTTTGCCACATATATTTTACGAGTGAAGTTTTTGAAGTGATAGCAATATCAATATTTTTGCTACTTTTGATCCGAGTTATCTGTCTTCTCACTTAACTGCTTCACCCGTAGTGATCGGAACTTCATGGGTTGCTTTAGACAGCAGCGAAGTTCGTCCATGACAATTTCTTCTGTTGCAAAAATAGTAGCAAGATGTATAGCCTAGGCGAAACACGTCCGATCTTATCTGACCAAAGTCCATCACTGGACGCGATTGTCGGATTTAATCATCTAAAAATTCGAAATGTTTTGACTTTTACTCACTTCATTTTGTTTATATAAAGCTGAATAGAGAGTCATCATTCTGTAACGATATAAATGTTTCTAAAATTCTTTATATCTTTTAAACAAGGCTAGAATAGACTCTATAAAAACAGAGTTAGAAGAATTGTGTACATTTCAACTTTTAATGATTAAACATAACAAGTAATATTACGGATACTGACTTGAAGATCGTCACTTAGGGTTAATCAATGTGTTTTACCTACGGACACAAGAGTTATTGGCGATGATGGACTTATGCTTTAATGCATACTTTTATTAGCTTTAGGCTCAGTTATTTTCTGAACTAAAAACAAGTACCCTCTAAAAGAAATCGTAGATTAGAAAGCCAAAACTGTTTTTAAATTCTGATTGTACTTAAAAAAACTCTTTGTATGGTTCTTTATTAGAAATACCGGGATTTTAAGAGGGTAATCACTCCCGATTTTCCTCATATGTTTGCAGGCAGCACCAAGCTGTATATACAATGGAGTTTTTTCGATGAACTAACTTGTAATTACAGAGAAAAAAGGTATTTTACAAATTTCATGTGATTCTGGTTTTCTTGTTAAAAGATTATAATAAATTCGAAAAGTTTGAATAAATGCAAACTACGTACATTTTAAGTGAATTTAAAGCTAAAATTTTCCCCTACAATGGAAAAAGTGTTCAGCTCAGGGTATGACGACCGTTATCCTCAACAACTTTGCCAGGAAAATTTATTTTTGAAAATGCTTCTCTCGTAAGGAAATGCTTGTATAAGCTTTTATACGAGATAAGGAAAAAATAAAACTATCGAACAGTACTTTTTTTCTAATGGATATGCTGAATATATTATAAATTATTATAAAGAGGTCGGGGAGCTTTCTTCGAACCTCATTCTATCAGTTTTTATGATATTTCTTGCATAATAATGAACATAAACACATTAAACAAAGAACTAAAGTCATCGTTAATAAAGAAGTTAGAAAATATAAACATCCGTGTTCCATCATTAATAAAGAAGGCTGATTTAGTTGAATTACTATTATTAAATGCTAATAATTCAATATTAGAAGAACCAAAATTAGAAGAAACATCATTTTCTACCAGGGGCGGCGGAATGGTTTGAAATCTGTGGGGACAGATTTTATTTCCTGTAAAGTCAACGAAAACAATTCGAGTACTTTTACATCATCTCACAATCTAGTGCCTAATGCCTCTAGAGCTGTGGGGATGACGCCCCATTGCCACTATGGTTCCGCCGCCTCTGTTTTCTACTACTACTCAACATCAGGCGTATGATGACTCATCTTGTTTACACATTAACACAAATGAATATACAAGTGAGAATGATAAAATGAAATGAATGAAAATCAAAAGATTTTAACCACAGCCTCTAGTTCACTGATAAATCAAACATCTAATAGTTCAGATTTAGGACAAAAAACAAACAAGGCTATTTTAAGCGATAGTTTACTCAAAAATTTCTCTCAAATCCAAATTGTAATGCAAAAATTAGAACAAAGTCGGGAGAGAAATTTAGTAAACTAATTGAAAAAATTCAATCTAACTATGAAGAATTTGTCAAAGAATCTGATTATATTGTCTACGTTTGTGGGACAAATGATATTAGCGATGGTACTATTAGTAAAACAATTGAGGAAGCACAAACTCTTGTCAAATTAACTAAACAAACAAATCCAAATATTAAAATATCAACATCAGTACCATTGTAAATTTAACATCCAGGACCAATGAGATAAATTTGATTTGATTTGATTTGAATATCATTCAATTTCTTGATCGATTTTGGATATTTCGAGTCTTTTCACGGTCATTATACATTTGACACGTATACCTTTTGCTGTAATAACAGCTGAAACCCAATCATTTTGGCTTCGAGTCATCTCATTATCGTTTCTGTCAAGACGGGTACAAAGTATAATGTCAAATACTTTCAAGGACAGCAGAGGTGCTTGAAGATTAACACGAGTTTCAAGCCTTCGAAATTAAGAAATCAAGTTATTTTTTTGTGATTTAATTTTATTATCTGAAACTTTTACATCTTACTGCACAGATTCCACCGAAAGTACGATCTCATAACTTATATCCTTATTGGGATAAAATATCGGTCGGCCTATATGGCATATCCCGATTTGCCTACAAATTTCGATCAGGATAATTTGTATAGGCCAGTCGACGTATATAATCACTCAATCATTTTTCTGGATCCCACTTGACATCCAAATTCCATTCGAAAGACGGTTCAGAATCGATTCAGATTTGATAGGGCGAGGGCTATAATGTATTGTTCAGGGTACTATTTGAAAATCCATTAAAAACTCGCATATCCTGATCGGGCTATAAAATATATCCTGATCGAAGGTTGCTTTAGATTTTTTCAAAAACTTTCGTTTTAGAAAAAATTGAACGCTAATTACTGGAATTGCAAAGTACCGAACAGAGCGCTTAAAACTGCATATGAATTCATGAGGATCTCCAGATATCGGATGATGACAATCTAGAATAGAATGGTTTTGTCATCATGTTGATATAGGCTGCATGAACATTTTGGTCGTTCTCTGTTGTAGAATAAAGCTTGAAAAATATATTCATTCACTTTCTTTATACATGTTCAATATCTCTGGCGCCGCCGCCGCTGCTGAAGTCGGAGAAAATTATTGCGACTTTCCCCGCCGCCGCTGACAGCGGAGAAAAACTGTTCTGACTTCCCCCGGCGCCGCCATGTCGTTGAACTATTGTCGCCGCCGAGGGCGGAGAAAATTTTTTTCCGAAGATTTTAACTATTTTTGTTAGTACGTTCTTACCTTAGGCATCTAGCTTGCAGCGCGTTTTTATCTTTTCGTATACGGCAACGTACAGATACAGTCCGGGCGCGAAGAACGTGCCAGAAATGAAAGTGAACGTTGTTTTACTTAAATTACGAGATTCGCCGCCGATAACTAATATTTACACGCCGCCGCCGAAGGCGGAGGAAATTTTCATAGCCTCGTACCGCCGCCGCTGTAAAAGTTTTTATCGGCGCACATGTCTGACTATATATACTCATTGTACAATACCTACTCAGTCTAAAGTGGTGATTTTTTCTACCGTTATTGATCTGCAGATATTAAAACATGTGTTACATCTGCTGCTGTTTTCTTTTCTCAGCTATTTCATATTTTCTCCTGTGACTTGTTGCTCATGTTTGCCGTACTATGTCACATCATAGATAAAGAAAATGATTCGCAAGGATAAGGTAAACCCTATCTCGTTAGTTCTGCATAGAGAAAAAATAAAGAAAGCAAAGTGAATCTATCTTATCAAAAACGATAAATATTACCAAAATACGAGTGGATTCAGACAACGAAAGAAACGAGTATGATTGTCGCATTCATCGATTACTATCTTGAGCGAAGATAGCTGATAACTGTCTTTTTACAAATAAGTCTATTGTAGTAAAAACCAAGTCCCATGGAATTCAATGAACACCAAATTTCACTTTTCTAACTTTGACCTTACAAAAGCAAATTTTTATTTTCCTGTTACATATATTGTATAACGACGGACGCCACATAATTACTTAGCAATATGTGTGTGCATTAGAAGTGTTAATTTCGTGTAACTTTAGAAAATAAATATAAATGATGCATTTATATTTATCCATTATATAGATGAACAACAAAACTAAAGTAACATTCATAGTATGCATACATATACTGTAACAGAATCTTTCCCTTGTATTTTGAAAGCAAATATCTAGTATCATACGCCATTTTCCATCTGAATTTAGTGAAGCATGAATGAAGAAAGGAAAAAAAAGGAGCAAATATGAGTAACTCTTTGATATGATTTTCTTGCAGTATAGTATTGTGAAACTGACAAAAGAATTATTCAACTACTTAAAATGACCAGATTTAACCAAAATTCAAAACAAAAGAAAATGTCCTATTATCATCATGCATCATCAAATACATTTCTTTACAAAACAGTCGGACAACAATTTGATGAGACTGTTGATAAATATCCGGAGCATGAATGTTTGGTGTTTAAGGAAGAAAATAAACGCTGTACATATAAAACATTTCAATATGAAATAAATCGTTTAGCTATATCGTTATTAGAACTGAAGTTGAACAAATGTGACTGTATAGGTGTGTGGTTACCAACAACGTCAGCAAATGTAACATTAACGTTTGCTGCATCAAAATTAGGTCTAATCAAAGTAAATATTAATCCAAATAATACAGCATCTGAATTACTACATTGTTTAAATACAACAAAATGCAAATGTTTGGTAATGCAAGCAAATGTTAAATCTCTAAATTGTATAAATATAATAGAAAATATTCTGCCAGAATTAGCACGATCAAAAACCGGTGAAGAACTAAACTCCCAATTGATACCAACATTGAAATATGTTGTTGTTGTTGATTCAACAACATCGATAAAAGGTAATAATGGTTTTGTCATACACAGCTGAAGAATAAAACAAAACTGAGAGATTATAAGATAACACAGCAACAGACTTGTGTCAAAACAATCATTATCATAGACGTGCGGTTTTAATCTTAAATATTGACAGTTGTGCTAATTTTCAGTAAGCTATACGTTTTTCCGAGAAAAGTATCTCACGAGAGAACCTTTCGAGACGATAAAACGCTTTTTGCTCTGAATCTACTGGGTTATAAGTTATCGACCATGCTGATAGATCCAATTTTCTAGAAAACCAGCTTTTCGGAAAGTTTAAAATATAACCAGAACATTTCTTAATGAGACATGATTGTAGTCCACAAATTTCAGATTAAAATGAGACATCCCCCAGCTTAATACAATCTTTCTTTGCAAAGTTATAGAATTTACAAGAAAAGCCCTAAATTAGTTTTTTCTTACTTATTTCTGCAGCTTTGACCTGATAATGAACACGTAGGGCTTCTCTTGTAAATTCTATAACCTTGTAAAGAAAGGTCGTGTAGAGCTGGGAGATGTCTCATCTTAATCAGAAATTTACGGGCTACGTGTATGTCTCGGTAAGAAAGATTCTAGTTATATTTTAGAGTTCCTGAAAACTGACATTTTGGCAAACCGAATCTTCGAAG